AACATATAAAACCATTGTGGAACGTACCCATAGTTTATTATATATCAATGTATATTGCTTGTTTTACCATAACACCTCACTAAAGAATTATATAATATGAAAATTAAACTATTCTTGAAAACCATTGAACCATATATTATGGGTCAAAGAACATAAAATATGCAGAATGAGACACATGCAATTCAGAAAACATTGATTGATATAGGTTGATTTTTAAATACATATTAATTTTCAGATTATAAGTTTCTATGTCAATTTAAATGATTGTATTTTCATTCAAAGGTTAGTGAAATAAACAATATACATAATATATAATAAACTAAACTTCATCTTCTTTCAACCTATATAAGAATTTAAAGATCAAAATATTGCAAAGTCACAAGAAGCCTTTTTCTTATTACTTAGCAATGTTTTGTTCTTGTTTTGAGATCATTTGTCAACAAAAACATCATACAACAACACAAAAAATACATGTAAAACAATACAAAAACATATATTTTAGCAACCAAACACTAACAACATACAATATCACAAAATATATTAAGTTATTTATAGAACGCACCTTTTATTAAAAATAATTGTGGAACTATGTAGTTCATCTAGTTTGTGAAGCAATGAAAAAGAAATACAAGGTGGATGAAGTTTCCACAATGACTTCATATTTCTTGTATTTTTTCCATTTCTACACAAACCATATGTACCTTATTAACTCATGCTATACGCTTGCTACCACCATCATCATCACCATATGAGGTTCATCTAGTTTGTGAAGCCATGAAAAAGAAATATAAGGTGGATGAAGTTTACACAATAGCTTCATACTTCTTAATATTCTTATAGCTTCTCAAACTAGATAAAGTTTATTGTTGTTATTGTTGTTTTTTTATTCACTTTTCTTGAGTCCTACAAACACCATGAAAATTATCAATATGTAAAATCGTAAACTTATTATTTGTCAACAATCACTACTACGGAAAAGGAATTTAACAACGACTGGGAAAAATATATAACCACGCGGGATCAAGCATTATTATGTAGCGCGTGGTTGTATATGCGGTACTTACAATCACGGTCCAGTAACCATCGTAGTAAACTGGAAAGCGTGTACCTTATAACAATAGTTATTCCTTAACCGTTGTGATATTGTATTTGAATAAATGTCAAATTTTCATACCAGAATCAGCATTAAACCAATTTTGAATTGATATACAAACTTGTATTACAAGTACACAATTCCATTAAGTACATCAAAATTTGAATAACTCGAGGTATGAAATCTTCTTAACTTCCAAGGAAAAAGATAGGGTATAGAATTAAAGAAACAATGATGAGTTTAGTTTTTAAACTTCCAAGAGAAGAAGATGAAGAATCAGAAGGAACAATATAAAAGCAGAAGAACTAAAACACGAAAACAACTTCATCCAAAGGAATCAACATGTGTTATCCTTCTCAAGCTACCAACAACGCTGAGAATCAAAATGTTGATGTAGAGGGTGGCGTTGTGCAAAATCAGCCTCAGAATCAAGATGTAGCTGTAGAGGATGTTTTGATGCAAAACCATCCTAAGATTCAAGATGTTGTTGTAGAGGGTATTGCATTTAGACTAATGAGAGCTCTTAGGGTGAGGAGAAGAAGAAGAAGAAGAAGAAGAAGAAGATTTAGAAGACAAATGATGATTTTTTCAATTCTGATGATGAGGAGGAGGATGACTATGATTGGTCTAACTTTATATCACCGAGAGGATTTATATTTGATTATGGTTTTTTATAATATAATGAAAGTTTTATGTAATAAAGTTTTAATCTGATTAACTATCATAAGGTTATCAACTTAAACTATCAACTTAACCTATAAGCTTAAACTACAAAATATATAAAATACATAATTGTAATTGAAAATTCAATAGTTTGCGATGAACTTACTCGTAAGAAACCGTCTGTTAGTTGCACTTTCTTGTCAAGTTCACTGCATCTTCAATATTATATTTCATGACAAAGTAAATATTAAACAAATATGTTATAAGAAAACATAACATTTTCAAATTTCAAACCCTAATTCAATTATTACATTTTATAAAAAAAAAAGTAAATATTAAACATAAAGGAGATAAGAAAACATAACATCTTCAAATTTCTAGAAAATCTCTCTGACTTCAGTTTGTTCTTCAAATTATTGTTCTTCTTTTTTGAATCTGTATACATAACCTTCAAATATCCAACATATTCCAACTCTGGCATCATATTACTCTCATCTTCCAATTTTTGTTCATCATCCCATATGAACAAATTACATGTTTCGCATCTCCACCAATTTAGACATCTCCAAAAAATCCTTCCTTTATTTTTACCCCTCTTGCATTGGTACGAAACCATATGACTGTCACAACCACAAAAATTTTCAGATCGAGATTTTACACCTTTGAGTGAGTTACTCTTCAAATGCGACATTGAGACGAAAACAATGAGTATGGTGTTAGGGTTGCTTTCTTCTTCTCAATGATGTCGACGACGTTGGTGTTAGAGTTGTTTCTTTTATCAGTGAAAGAATGGGTACTTAGTGTTTAATATATATAAAGAATCGTCAGTGTGTAACAACGGTTGTACAAGAGAGTCGTAGTGATATCCCTATTATTTTTTAATTATATGTAAATATAATTGAAAAGGCGTGCATTAATGTAAAAGAGATAAACTATTTGAGGGAGTTGAGGATCGAACCCAGGAATGCTGGACTGTATCACCACAGTTAGGGAATTAATCGTAATTATAACCTTAAAATTCTAATTAAAAAATAATAAAAAAATGTTAGCGTATTAGTTTAGCAGTGTCACTACGGTTTTGGGGCGAACCGTGATGACTTTGACGTTGTATACATATTTTGTAGTAGTGAATACAACATGCAACAACAACATAGAACAACCTAAAACAATAAAAGAACCATAAACTATGTAACAAGAAGAAAATAATAGGAAAACCATGTGAAACATAATAACAACATACATGAAAACGAGAGAATAAGGAAAAAGAAGAATATATTTATGTAAGAAGAACAAGATTGACATATATAGGGTAGAATAGAAATGCTAATGATGAAGAAAAAGAGAAAAAAATAAGTTCTAGGGTTTTGCTGAGAAAGATATGACACTACTGTCAAAGAGAAAGTGTTAATTCACTTATATATAAATATGCTCACAACGGTTTACGTTACCAACCGTGGTGATATATATAAATGTGTCACAACGGTTCAACAAAACAACCGAAGTTGTAACCCTTTATTTTATATTTGAAAATAAATAAAATAGAAAAGACGCGCCTTAACGTTAAATGAATAATATATGTGAGAGAATTGAGGTTCGAACCCAAGAAGTCTTGATTCTATAACCACAGTTATGACAACAACTATTATTATATCATAACAATTTTTTTTTAAAAATAAAATAAAATGTTAATGTTTGGATTTAGAGATGTCATCACGGTGTTAGGAAGAACTGTGATGAATTGGACGTTGTTGTTTGCACGAACTGTGATGAATTGAACGTTGTTGTTTGCACGTTTTATAGTAATGAATTAACAATATCAATTAATATAATAACTCAAGAATACAATATCAATTTCATCTTTCAAGAAATGATTATTATACACAAAGCACATTATGTTCAACGGCAACAATGTTAAAACATTAATTAGTATTTTCAATATTTGTTTGACTCCAGAAATATCAAAGTTTTCTATTTGAATTTTTATGCAGGACAACAATAATATAAACATTTCTTTAGGGGATAAAAAAGACAACAAACATAACTTGCAAACCGAAATCATCAAGAATAAGCTTTCAAATTAAAAACTCAAACTAATACTTTTACAGTTCTAAAAATTAATTATACATCAAAAACTCTAAACTGCACTTTCAAAATCTAAATCTAAATCTAAATCAAAACAATATTCGCTTGTTGATAGAACCATGTTCCTCTTATTCTCATTTTCTGCAAGTCTTCATCTAACTGTAACAAAACCAAATTAATCCATCAAATCAAATTTGGATGAGTGATTAATGAGTTTATTGAAGAGGAGTTCATCCTTAAAACCTCAACAAAAAAAAACAATTATCAAAATGCAAGTGAAAAGATTCGTTCCGTCATTTTGTCGAACTGTTTCTATGCATCACGAAAGAAGCCATTGCGGGAGATGAGTCCGTGGCAAAAGTTGGGGAGTGCAGTGATGTAAGAGTGATGGTGAAAATTAGAGGTTTTCACAAAGTGATAGTTGAAAATCAAAGATTCTCATTAAGAGAAAGAATGAGAAAAGAGAAACAGAGAAAACTTAACAGATTTTAATAAAATTTAACGAAAAAAATCAATGTGACTAATGAAATTTGATTTAAGGGACTTAAAACGAATATTTATTAAGTAAAGGATGAAAGTGAAACTTAAAATTGAATTAAAGAATCAAATGATACATTAAACTAATATTTTTCTATAACTTATTATTAAAAGATAAATTTAACATATTTGTGCAATTCATATTAAAGTATTCAAAATATCCCGAAGAAAATTCGTAGTTAATTTTAATTGTACCAGATAATAATAATTGGTGGAACCTATTTTAACTTTAAGGTTATTGTTAATTGACTCGCTTTGAATTTATGAAGTGTCATATTTATCAACATCTTCCTTTTTAGTGCTACAAAATCTTTTCAACAACCATACAATCCAACCAACATGAATCTTAATGCTTCAATTGATGAATCTGAATTTCATTTTTTAAATATTTTTTTATTAATATTACTGAGGTCCTCTGAATTGTTTGGGCTGTATTTCCTATAGATTTCAAAGTCCCTCCTATTCTTAAAAATATAAAACAATGACATTATAGTAATTCATAATTCTTCACTACTTTTGTATCAAAAAAAATTCTTTACATACAAAAAAAAAAACATAGCTATAGAATATCCTACAATGAATTATTGAATATTACTACAATTTACCAAAAAATTGAAAACTATAATTAATTATGAATCGGTGGTTTCCTTGATGCTGGAGTATAATCCATGGCAAAAACTTGAGAATCAACGTTACCTTCTTCTTCTTTTAGCTTAAACAAGTCAGCATGCACTTTCTTCTGTTGTTGAGATTTATTAGCATCCTCACTACTTTGGTTGCTTAATTCTTTCAATACTCTTGCTGCATAAACACAAAAAAAAAGTGTAAGAAAAAAAGGTGGAATATTATTGTAATTCCAACATTATTATAATATTTTTAGATATGAATACTTGAAGCAAAAGGTACCTCTAACTTGGATATGGATAGAGAAAAAGCAGAGGAGGAAAAAAATAACAAGAATGTGTTTGTTTTGTGTAGCAACCATCTTAGAAAAATATTTAGGCTTGTTGTACTCAATGATTTTCTCTCTTTTTTTCTTTCTCAGTATATCATATGCATATGCTAATTTAGGTCCTATATATATGGACACATCATGGAAACATCAACTTCTAACTGTTTTGTATTATTGGCCTATTGGGTGGGTATGTACATTAATAAACCATGCTGGTAAATTGTACACGACCCTAATGGTCTATAAGAGGGTCAACATCATTTTTGTCTGGTTTGAAATCAGTTGACATATCTATATTTTTTGTGAAAAAGTAACCAAAAGACTATGACCTCTCCATATGAATTCATGTGATTATGTCAACCTATGTATTTGGGCCATTTTAATATTTCGATTAGGTCCGAACTGGTTGGTCGAACTGGATCAAGATAAATAACTCTTGAAGATGAAAAATAATGGTACTTCTAAATATTACGCATATTGATTAACTGAATAGATTTATGAATAACATAAGTGGTATATGTAAAGTGTTTGAAATCTACCAAAATCTATAATATTTTTTTATCAATTTTGTTGAATAAGATTGTTATCACCACACAATAACAATAAATTATATGAAAGAAAAAAAGAATGAAAAGACAATTATTTTTCTGCAGAGTTTCTCTATGTCCATAAATTATGGAAAATCTTTATTATTCACTTGTAATTGTAAATTCTGTGAATACACTGCATTGACTTGATTACAAAAATATGAGTTACTCCCTCTATTTATAGATTTAGGTTAACTTGCTCTCTAAGTCAAAAACCTAAAATATAAAAGCCTAAAATACCTATTTTGGAACTAAATCAAATCTATTATATTTTAAATCTAAATCAAATCTATTTAAATCTAAAACTAAATCAGATTTGTGTGCAGTATCTTCGACACACCTTTTTCGACACTCCCTTATCTTTGTCGAGCAAACTGCTTCGACACAAGGAATTACTTTTAAGACACCACTTAATTCATTGTGTCTAAGCTATATATATTCATCATAGCTCTTAGTCTTTGAAACACCATAGTCGAGAGTTTCTTTGAGATACCTTAGTATCCTTTTTGCCGCTGATAGATGTGATACATTTGGCTTCTGCATGAATCTACTTATCATACCTACACTATATGCTAAATCAGGCCTCGTGTGACAAAGGTATCTTAATGACCCAATAAGTCTTCTGTATTGGGTTGGGTCGACATCAACTTCTTCTGAATCTTTCGACAGTTGCATTCTTGGTTTTGCTGGTGTCGAAGTCGAGTTGCATTCTTCCATCTCAAATCTCTTGAGAATTTCTTCTGTATACCTTCTTTGGTACATCATCAAACATCTACTACTCTTGTAGAATTCGATACTAAGAAAGTATGAAATGTCACCCAGATTGGATATTTCGAATTCCTTGTTGAGATCACCTTTGAAGTCTTCGATCTTCTTCTTGCAGCTACTTGTTATAAACAAGTCATTGACATAGAGACATAGTATAAGTAATTTACTATTTCTTCTTCTTACATATACTCCATATTCAGTTGTGCACTTCACAAATTCCTTCTCCTTTAGAAAACTACCAATCTTCTCGTTCCAAACTCTTGGAGCTTGTTTCAATCCATATAGGGCTTTATGTATTCTATACACCTTTCTCTCTTCGTCATGTTTTAAAAATCCAACTGGTTGTTTAACATAAACTTCTTCGTCTAAGGGTCCATTCAGGAATGCACACTTCACGTCCATCTGACATATGTGCCAATTATTTATTTTTTTTAGACCAATAACTAACCTGATTGTTTTGATCCTAGCCACATGTGCAAAAACTTCATCGAAGTCTATTCCTTCTTTATGGAGAAATCCTTTCGCCACGAGCCTCGTTTTGTGTCGAGTTACTTCTCCTTTGGGATTCATCTTCACTTTGTATACCCACTTGACATCAATTTCCTCCTTACCTTGAGGCAATTAGACAAGTGACCAAGTGTTGTTGTCTTCGATGGACTTCACTTCTTCGTTCATTGCTTTCACCCACTTAGAATCCTTCAATGCTTCAGTTGCATTGACTGGTTAGACATTTGCATTGAAAGCATAATGTACCAACTCACCATCGTTATCAACTATATCATCTGATGTAATCACACATTCTTGCAACCTTGCAGGAACATATCTTGTTCTTTGAGGTCTGCTTGTACTTGGTTGATTTATAACTGTTGGTTCCTCTTGTCGAACTTCACTTTTGACTTGAGTTTCTGGTTCTTCAAGTAGGATTCCCACTGAATCTTTCTTGACATTTTCAGTCCAATCCAATTCTTTAAGCTCATGTATGATCATGTCCATGATGATCACAATCTGCTTGTTCACTAGGTCGAACAACTTGTAAGCTCCTGTCCAATGATATCCTACTAGGATCACCTGACTCAACTTGTCATCAAGTTTTCTTATCAACTGATCTAGCACATGTCTATGTACAATAGATCCAAATACCTTCTGATGACTCAAGCTAGGCTTCACACTAGATCAACATTCTTCTGGAGTAATTCTTTCTAGCTTCTTCGTTGGAAATCTATTTAGGATGTATGTTGCAGTCGACACAACTTCACCCCAAAACTCTTTAGGTAAATGTTTGCCTTTCAACATACTTCTCACCATATTCATCATGGTTTGATTCTTCCTTTCTGCAGTTCCATTCTGTTGTGGAGTGTAGGGTGGCACCACCTCATGCACAATCCCTTCCTTTTCACATAATTTTTTGAAGTCTTTTGCTACATACTCTCCACCACTATCAGTTCTCAAAACTTTAAGCTTTCGACCACTTTGTATTTTGACCATAGATTTAAACTTGGTAAATACCTCGATCACTTCACTTTTCTTCTTGATCGGGTAAGTCCATAGTTTTTGACTAAAATCATCTATGAATGTAACAAAGTATTTGTTACCTCCCATCGAATTCACCTAGATTGGTCCACATACATCAGAGTATATGACTTCGAGAATAGCCTTTGACCTGCTTCCTGCATCCTTGTTGAAGCTATTCTTGTGTTGCTTTGCCTGCACACATTCCTCACACTTTATTTGGAAAATCAATTTCTGGCAATCCTGAAACCATATTTCTCCTCTTCAAATATCTGATGTCTTTGAAGTTGAGATGGCCTAGTCGATAATGTCATATCCATTCATCTCTGCTAGCTACAGTTGAAAGGCACTTGTGCTCCATCACATTAAATTCAATCTTGAAAGTCCTATTCTGAGACATGGGAGCCTTCAAGATTAACCTTTCATTTGCGTTGACGACTCTCATCATCTTGTCTTCGACCATCCCTTTGTAATTCTTTTCGACCAACTGCCCTATGTTGAGCAAGTTGATCTTCATGCCTGGAATATACAGCACATTCGAAGTTATTGACCTTTTTCCATCTTTATTCATAATTAGAACATCTCTAATACCTTCAGGTGCTAGAGTATTGTCATTTGCAAATTTTGCCATGTTCTTCATTGAGGATCTTAGATTGACAAAACAATCTTTCCTTCTAGACGTATATGATGAACATCCTGAATCCAAGTACCATTGATCCTTGAATTTTTCTTTATCTCTTGATGTGACCATCAACAATATATCTTCTTCTTCATACTTAGCGAACTTTGCACCACTTTCTTGAATCTTTCGCTTTTCTGGACAATCACTAGAGTAATGACCATACTTCTGATAATTGAAACACTGAATGCGACTTTTGTTAGGCTTTCGACCACCACCTCTTCCTCTACCTCCTACACCACCTCTTTGGTTGCTTTGGTATTGTTTTGTTTTATTCAACACATTTTCTTCGTACTGATTTCCTCTACCAGTTGAATTGCTGTATCCACCTTTACTTTTATTGTCGAACCATTTTCCTTTGCTTTTTTTGTCTCTTGCTGATTGAGCCTGCAAAGCCACATCACTCTTCGACTTGCCTGCATCTCTTTCATCCATTCTTTGTTTGTGAGATCAAGCGTCCTTGGAAGCTCTTCCTTCGACAGAGATGACATGTCCTTCTACTCTTCTATGGCAACTATCACATGGTCAAACTTCGGAGTCAAAGATCTCAAGATCTTCGAAACAATAGCTCTTATTGTGAATGTCTCTCCACGAGTCTTGATTTGATTCACTAGTTTCGTAATCCTAGTGAAGAAATCAGATATGCTTTCGCTATCTTCCATCTGAAGCAATTCATACGTTGTTTTGTGAGTTTGTAACCTCACCTCTTTCACCTTCTCAACACCTCCAAATGATTTCTTCAGAATCTCCTAGGCTTCTTTAGTAGATTCAACACCACTAACCTTTTCGAAATTGTCTGGGCTGACACATTGGTGAATTATAAAGAGAGCTTTATAAATCTTCTTCTTCGATTCTCTGTATTCTACTTCTTCTTCTTTTGAAGCGTCTTCATCAAGAGGTTCTAATCCATGTTTCACAAGATCTCAAAGACCTTGAAAACAAAATATAATCTTCATTTGTTTGCATCAATTCTCATAATTATCACCTTTAAGAATTGTGAGACTTGCTGGAAAATTTCTGTTAGCGTAATTCATCACCATTGTGAATTTATTCTTCTTCTTCTTCTACCTCGATCGTTCTTCCCTTGAATCACTCAACTGAAGCTCTTGATACCAGATGTTGGAAATCTACTAAAACCTATGATAAATTTCTATCAATCTTGATGAACAAGATTGTTATCACCACACAATAACAATGAATTATATGAAAGAAAGAAAGAATGAGAAGACAATTATTTTTCTACAGAGTTTCTTTCTACTCACAAACTGTGGAAAAACTTTATTATTCACTTGCAACTGCAAATTCTGTGAATACAATAAATTGACTTGATTATAAAAATACTGGTTACTCTCTCTATTTATAGATTTAGGTTAGTTTGCTCTCTAAGCCAAAATCTCAAAACTATAAAAACCCAAAATACCTATTTTGGAACTAAATCAAATCTATTCTATTTTAAATCTAAATCAAATCTATTTAAATCTAAAACTAAA